TGATCGATGAGGCTCGGAGGGTACAGCTTCGTCAGGCTAGCCAGAGTTCCCGCCCCCCCGCACCAGTGCCAACTGGTCCGCAGGGATATCATTTTGAGGGCCAGCCAGATAGTTCGCGACCCCACGGAGTCCTCCCGTACGACGAACATGGATTTTATTATCCTGGCCAGGCGGGCAGTTCGATGCCCCCGGCACCAGGACCGTACGATTAGCCGAGAGGTGCTTTTCCCCACTACGCAGGGAAGTCGATACCCCCCCGCGCACGCGTACCATTACTTTATGGTCAGCAGAGGTATGTTGATGATGAGTCGTACGGCGAGAGGGAGCCGGGTCCAGAGGACTATGACTCGGACGACTCTTCAGATGATCAGGACCACGCACAGCCTACGGGTCCTAACCACCCTCGTCCTCCTGTACAGCCTGTTCGTCCGGTACAGCCGGTTCTACCGCATGTTCGTCCGGTACAAGCTGTTCGTCCTACACAGGCTGCTCCTCAACGACAGGCTGGGGGGCATTTTAGCCCATCTGCATCCTCATCAGGTAAATAATTTACGTACTTATTGTTGTTTAACATAAATTATGTTCACTTAATTATAACAAATTATCGGTACTGTTAGAAAAGTATTATCGGCCTGCTCCTCAACTATGGTATAATTATTTTGTAATTTAAATGAACCATACAATTAATTAGTTAAAAAATTATTATAATTATTTTTATTATTGTTATAACCAATTAGTAGTAATGTTACATAATAAATTAGTTTCATTATATTTTATTAATGTAAAATGTAACGTTTGAACAGTAATTGAAAAAAAAAACGGGAAACTTATGAAATATGTTTTATTAAATATATTTTATTTAATGCATCTGCCAGCAAGTCAATATATACAGATATGTTGTATTTTAATGCAGGTACTAGCAAACGAGCTAGGATCGATGATGGTGCACCCTGGATCGTTAAAGGCCCAGTGCCCGGTGGGCCCATTGATGGGAGTGTCATCCCTAGCTTTCTAGGGCACGTCGCCTCCCGCATGTGGAGTGGGAATTTGAGGGGGCCGCTGAAATGCCACAACAGACTGAGAGCGATAGAGAATCTGAAGGCTTGGCGTGAAGAGATGTCTTCCGATGCGACAGCTCTTCTTGACCAGACCGGGCTGTCACATTTGGTCGACTCCATGCACACCCACTTGGACACCCCACTTCTTTCTGCTTTTGTGGAGTGATGGCAGCCGGATACTAACTCGTTTCACCTGCCTTTTGGTGAAATGAGCATCATGCTGCACGATGTCCAGGTCATTTTGGGCGTTCCAGTGGAGGGAGTCGTGGTCGCTGAGGACCCGGATT